TAAGAAAGCCCCTCCCGTCTCTCCATCCTTCATACATTAAACCAAATTTTCCTTATACTTCTCCAAGGCCTAAGTCATCATCGCCTCCTAGAGGAAGCAGATGGGATTAGCTTCTCTCTACTTCATGTTCCTGCAGCCCTTTGGGCTTTATTCTGTCATTAACTTTATAGCTGTGTGACCCTGGGCTAATTCCTTACCTTCTCTGTTCTTTAGTTAGCTCAATTATTAAATAGAGATTACAATAAAGTCTACCTCCGACCTACAGTATAAGAGAGAATATTTGCAAATCATACATATGAGAAAGGGTTAGTATCCAGAATACAGAAAGAAGTCCTACAACTCAACTCCAAAAGAAAACAAATAACCCAAGAAAACGGGTGGGAGGGAGGTTCACGATGGAGGGAATATATGTATACTTCTAGTTGATTCACGTTGTACAGCAGAAACCAACCACAACATTGTAAAGCAATTATCTTCCAACTAAAAACAAATTTTAAAAAACTGAGCAAATGAATAGACATTTCTCCAAAGAAGACATGCAAATGATTCATAAGCACAGGAAAAGATACTCCACTAATCACTAGAGAAGGCAAATCAAAACCACAATGCGATACCACCTCACACCCATGAGATTGTCTACTGCCAACAAAAACAGAAAATAACAAGTCTTGAAAGGATGTGGGCACTGCTGGTGGGAATGTAAACCAGTGAAGCCACTGAAGGAAAATAATCGAGCAGTTCCTCAAAAAGTTAAAAACCAAATTACCATTTGATGCAGCAATTCTACTTCTGGGTTAATACCCAAAATAATTGAAAGCAGAGTCTCAGAAAGATATTTGTAACCTCATGTTCACAGAAGCATTATTTGCAACAGCCAAAATGTGGAAGCAACCCAAGTGTCCATCTACAGATGAATGGATAAATAAACATGGTATATACATACAATGGGGTATTACTCAGCCTTTAAAAAGGAAGAAAATCTTGACACATGATACAACATGGGTGAACCTTGAGGACAGACAGTGAAGTAAGACATTCAAAAAGACCAATATCTGCATTTGTATGAGGTACCTGGAGTAGCTGAACTCATAGAAACAGAAGGTAGCGTGGTGGTTGCCAAGGTCTAGGAGGACGGAGATGTGGGGGTAATTGTTTCTTAGATACAGAGTTTCAGTTCTAAGATGATGAGTGTTCTGCAGACTGGATGCACAACAACGGGACTGTATTTAACACGACTGAACTGGACACTTAAAAACTGGTTAGGATGATAAATTTTATGTTACATATATATATATGTAACTCAGTCATGTCCTACTGCTCGTGACCCCATGGATTGTAATATATATGTAACTCAGTCATGTCCTACTGCTCGTGACCCCATGGATTGTAGCCCGCCAGTCTCCTCTGTCCATGAAATTTTTCAGGCAAGAACACTGGAGTGGGTTGCCATTTCCTCCTCCAAAATTATATATATATATATACAATTTAAATATTTTAAAATCCTAAATGCTTCCACTCCCCCAAAATAAAATCTGCCTGATAGTGTTGTTGTAAGCATTAAAAATAGATGCAAAATATTTATGACGTGTGGGCTTTTATTAATAGATACTATATTTTAATTAAAAGTTTACACACAAAACACATGTGAGGCGTTTAAAGCAGCACATAGTAAGCAAGCACTGTGTGAGCGTATACCATGATCACTGCCCCGTCAATAAGTCTGATTCCCCAGCTGGGCTGTGAACCCTTGAGGACCCAGACTGGGTCACCTGTCTCTGCCTCCCTGGGACCCAGCGCAGTGCCAGCTATACACTATAACAGCAACAACAATCAATAAGAACAAACAATAGCAAAATAATGGTTGGTATTTATTGGGCTCCTACCATGTGCCAGGAACCATTGTCACTGTTTAAGAGCTTTATTTACATCAATCCATTTAACCCTCACAATGATCCAATGAAGTATGTTCTACCATAATTTCCACTTTACCGATGAGGAAACTGAGGCCCACAGAGACACAGCATTCGGTGTCTCAAATGCCCCGGGTGACATGACCTACTGTGACATCATCCATTTCCTGCACTTGACTGGAATACCTCTTTGCCAGTGAAGTGCTTCTCATCCTTCCTGACCCAGCCCAGGCACCGTCTGCTCTCGTCCATTGCTGACTCTCTGTCCCCCACTGCTGTCAACACTGAGTGAATTCTCACCTCCAGTTCTACCAAGCTCTTCTGCATCACACATTTGCTCTGCTATATTAGAGTTCATCTGTTTATTGCCTGTCTTTTCTTCGGGACTAAGGGCCCCTTGAGAGCAGAAACCACATCATATCCTGGGGTCTGGTACATACTAAGTACTCAATTAATACTTACTGAGGGAATAAATGAAAGAAGAATTGAACACTTGATCGAGCCCTCATCCCACACAGAAACTCCCTTTATCATACCCAGCCACTTTAAATGATAGTGTTTTGGGAACAAAGGAGAATATAGACCCACCCACCAAATATAGTCTGCCTTCCTTGATAGTCAACCTCTTGATAGGAAAATAGGGCTGCTTATGACGTCAAATATGACAAGTTTTCAACCAATGATCAAGCACTTGGCGCTTACCTATGTTTCTCCAGGCCCACTTCTAAATGACCTGCCAATCGCATCTTACCCCAAATAGCACATCATATTTTCAGAGTGTTTTTGCATCCACTAACTCGTCTGACAGCACCGTGAAGTGGACATCACAGGTATAACTATCCCTATGTGACAAATGAGGAAACTGAGGCACGGGGAGTTACCTGAGGTCCTACGGGCCTGTGTCCTGCTTTGTTTTGGTGCTTACATGCCAAACGCACACTTTAGAACAAGCTGGCTTTTTCTGAGATTCTACTTGGGGTTTGTTCACCAGCCCAGGATGGCATTCACGCTGACCTCTCTCAAGGAGGGTGATGGCGAGATTGATGGCGATGATGTTTTTCCAGGCCCCGACCCCTCAGGAGATGCCTGCCTTGAAGCTTCTCCTGAGAACGTCCAGGTGGAAACAGCTTTCTTCATCCAGAAAGGACAGAAAACAGGCCCCAGGTCCAGTGAGGGAATCATAAACCGTGATCCCCTTCAGCATCGTGTGCTTGTCAGTCCCTGCTGGTCAGCGAGGCCATGAAACGCCGCCCCAGAGAAGCTCCCCCTGGACAGGCAGCCCTGGGGGCTTCCGGGAGAGCAGGAGCCAGGCTGAGCTGACCCGGCAGGAGATGGTGGCAGGAATTGGGCAAGCACAAGGGGAAATCGGTAGCACCTGTAATCAGACTGACGGACATGGGGCAACCCAGAGGGAACGGAACTTAGTTCTGTTTACAGGCAAGAGCTCAGTCCTGGCTGCGTGTCACAACACCAGGCCCAAGCCTGTGACTGAGGAAATGAGGACAGAGCATGCAGGGCCAGTGGAGAAACCCCCAGGAAGGGGCAGAAGGACTGGGCTGAGCCACCGCTTTGTAATCAAAGGCCTGTGCAACCCAGTACATTTCAGGTGAGACAGGCAGGGAGGATCCACCTGGGCCTGGGGCAAGAGTGGCCTGAGTCACCCTGCCAACTGTCTTCAAGTCTCTGGATGTGACTAAGGGCCTGCAGGAGGCAATGCAGACTCTGGTCATGGGATTGCAGTCCACAGGCCGCATTCCTGCACACCCCCCGCTCCACGACAACAGAGCACACGCTGTGTGTTGACGTTGGGCTGTGCACGGGCCATGGAAATGACAGGATGGGGTCCCCGTCTTGGTGGGGGATACAGACAGCCACACATAACCTCAGTGCAGCAGGATAAGACCTCCACAGGGGAGGTCCAGAGGGAAAGTGGGGCCAGTGACAGTGACCCCTACATGATGAGAATTGAAGATCAGCCAGTGTGTAGACATGGCGTCCATAGAGGGCCTGCTTCTGAGCTCCACTGATCAGGAACAAAGGTCTCCAGTTCGGCCTGCAGGACGCTGCTCCCTGTTTGGTTCACAGATCCAGTTGGCAGAGGGAACCAAATCAAGTCCTTTTAAATAATACCCCCAATCACTGCCTAGGGATGCAGACAATTACCCATCATTCTTTCAAATAACTTATTGTTTCTATCATAGTGCACTCAGGACAAGGGTTCTCAGACCATCCTCAGAGAAGAAACCCACCAAGATGGACCCGGCAGGACCTAAAGGCAGACGAGACCCTCTCCCAAGAGATTTTGCCTCAGATTCCCGGGCTCCCGGTGAGAGACAAAAGCAAACAACACAGAGAGAGGGCAGGGGCAGGTCTGAGCTGGAAGGGATGAGGGAGTCACAAGTAGCCCAGAGTCAGAACAACACCCAGGTCCATCATCATTTATTTATTAATAGAAACAAAACCAAACCCTCCTCTCACCAGGAAGCCTTCCCTGATCGACAGTCACCCACATTCCACTCATCACTCTTCTCACTGACAGGCAGCATTGCCAACTTTAAGTTTGACCCATCTCTGACTCAATGTATGGAAAACCCACCCCACAATCTTCCCTCACCGACTGGCCATGGACCTGCCACCCATGTTAATTACCAGCATCATCTTCCCCACCCTGTCCTGGCCCCTGTCCTGTCCCAGCTGTTCCGCCTTTGTTGGGGCTCTCTTTTGAAGCTGGGAGAACTTCTGCCATTGTGGCTCCTGTCCAATCAGGTATGTGTAGTGAATGAGTGACCAGAACATCAATGGTGAGACCTGATTTCCTTGTCAGAGAGCTGGCTCCCCGAGAGAAGAGACTCCACCCTCTCAGACCGAAAGCTGAGGGTAAGGGCTGTCTCCCTGCTTAGATAGGGGCTCCTGTGGGCAGGGGCTGTCTCCCTGCTCAGACAGGGGTTCCTGGGGCAGGGCTGGCTCCTCCCTCAGACAGGGGCTCCTGGGGCACAGACTACCCAAAATGACTGATCCTCAGAGTAGGACCAAACCTTTCTTTCTGGGGCCAGAGCAGATGCACGGAACCAGGAACTGAGCAACACCCAGAAGTCTCTACAAAGTTGCTTTATTCTCTTCCTTCACAGCATCCACTCCACACACACACACACACACACACACACACGGCTATGTCTTCAGCTGCCCACAGCTAGGTCACACTGCTCCCGAGGCAGGCCCCTGAACTCCCTCTAATAGAGGCTGTGCTGGGTGCAGTAGTGGGCACAGAGCTGCCGGTGGTACTGCAGGTGGTAGTCCTTCACCAGCTTGCCCAAGATGTAGAGGAACTCCTCAAAGCAGATCTGGTTGTCCCGGTTCTTGTCCGCTGCCTGGAACAACTGTGTGATGTAGTACGGCTCCTTCCGGCCCTGGGGAGTGAGTAGACGGTCAACCACGCACCCCAGCACCACCCTGCCGTGAAGGCCAGGCACTCCTCGGCCTGCTGGTGGGAGGACAGGGGCGGTCGGTGGGGAGAGTGTGGCCTGGCCCTGTCTGGAGGGGGTTTGCAGGAGACAACTCCTCACTCAGTCAGTGGCCAGGACCCTCTGTGCTGCAGAATGTTCAGGCAGCAGTGTCGGGAGCACCTCAGCTAACTGGACCTGGGGCTGCGTGGGAGACAGAGTAGGCAGGGTTCCATGTGCTGGTTGACTGGGCACCCCGGACACAATTCACCTTTGCCCGTCATCAGGGGCTGTGGCCTAAGTCTGTTCAGTCATATCTGACTCTGTGCAACCCCAGGGACTGGAACCCGCCAGGCTCCTCTGTCCACGGGGATTTTCCAGGCAAGAATACTGGAGTGGGTTGACATGCCCTCCTCCAGGGGATCTTCCCAATCCAGGGATTGAACCCATGTCTCTTGCATTGACAGGCTGGCTCTTTACCACTAGCGCCACTTGCCTATCTCTCCCCCACCTAAAGTGCCAGCTCCCCTGCAGGGACAGCCCAGCCCAGGGGCGTCAGGGTGGAAGGCTATGCCTTCCTCCTCCGCAGCGGGAGCCTCCAGGGCAGAGCCCCCTGCCCCTCGTGTCTGCGTCTCCAGAGCTACTGCAGGACCAGCACCAGATGGGGTCAGACATCTCCATGCGATGTCATCTGCCTGGAAACTGTTTAGGACTCTGTGCCCGTGTCACCTCCAGACAGCACAGAAGATGGGAAAGGCCAGAGCTAGGGGCCCTGGAGTTGCTGGAACATCCCAAGTGGGCAGCCCTCGGGGCTGGTACATGGAGGATAGGGGCATTTGAGGTGGAAGGGACGGCAGGGAGGGATCCAGCTCAGAGGGCAGGTGAAGGCAGGTGGCTTAGTGAGCAGTGCGGGCTCAGAGGGCAGGTGAAGGCAGGTGGCTTAGTGAGCAGTGCGGGCTCAGAGGGCAGGTGAAGGCAGGTGGCTTAGTGAGCAGTGCGGGTGACGCAGGTGTCAGCAGGATCTCGTTGGTGGGCGTGGGAAAGCTGGGGTGAACCTCTCAGAAAACCTCCAGGAAGGAGGTCGCTGCAGTTGTAAGCAGCCGTGGGCCTGGGAGCAGTCCTCATCCCTGTGGAAATTCTCCCCTTCTGTCTCCTCCATGGCCCCACCACCTACTTACTATCTTATCTCCTCCGCAAGTTTGGTTGACCTGAGAAACTGGAGGCCTCCGGCCTGCGGCAGGCACGTCCTGGCTTCCCTCCTCTCAGACCCCTGCCCAGGCTGCTATGTCTGCCCAGTGAGTCCCCCAGTGCAGGTTCTGGGGGTCCTTGCAAAGCCCCGTGACACTGGCAACTGGCCTTGGAAAGAAAAGGTTTTCCCAGAAACAGGGACTAGCCAGTCACCCTGGTCCCACTGCCCCGTGACTCTCGAGGCTGCACTCCAATAAACGGAGGGTGAGGCTCTCTCCTCTGACGTGTCCCAGAGGCAGGCAGGGGACACGGCATGAGACGTGACCAGAGGAGGCGCCTCTCCTGGAACGGAGGGCCTTGAGTTGGGCACCCCCTGAAGTACTCTGGACGTGGCAGTCCAGAGACCCCGGGGCTGGGCGCCACGGGCCAAGGGACAGATGCTTCCGCCAGCCTTGCAGTCCCCAGGGAGCAGGGTGGTCACGGGGCTGGGCCTGATGACAGAGGGGACGCACAAGCCTGAGGAGGGGACTGAGCCCAGCCTGAGTTCCGGGGCTGAGCCCCGAGGCTGCTCGGAGGGACTCTGTTGGCCTCTCAGAGGGGAGAAGAGATGATATTTCCCAGCAGCCACCACAGCCCAACTGTCCTCCACTGGGACCGGAAGTTGGATGAAAGACGCTTGTATTGACCCCAGGAGAAGGGCCTAGGGTTCAAAGGTCAGGTGTAGGGGCAAGGTCACTGACCGAACTAGCCTGTGGGCAGAGGAAGGATTTAAGTCCTTTTCTTTCCAGAAGCAGGTCAGGCAGAAGAACAAACAGGTTTGGGGTTAGGACTGAGTTTCAGGGATTAGCTGTGTTTGGTCTGGAGTGGGGCCAGGCAGAGTTTCAGGAGAGGGAAGGATAGAAAATAAAGCTAGGCTGGGCCACGCTTCCCCCACCAAACATCCTGCCCTCCGCCCTCCCGCACACCCCCTTCCCTAGCTGGAAGTGCCCCTAAGAGATGGCTTCCTGTACCTTCACCCGCACCACTCGCTTCCAGCCCCACAAGCAACCCCAGACTTTCTGTATCCCCACCCAACCCCACACACCAAGGTCTCCATGAAGCGGGGCACATTGTCCGTGAGCAGAGCCTTCAGCTCCTCCAGCGACAGTGTCTCTACATCCCCTTCCCGGGCAGCGTACTCGTGGTAGCAGTGGATGATTTGGAAGAGGGATTCCTCCACTGGTGTGTCCGTCATGGTGGCTGGGCCTGGGCCCAGGATGGGGCAACTCGGGAGATGCAGGGAGAAGCAACTGCAGACAGTGGAGAATCTGGGGCAGAGAGCACAGCAGAGCAGGCCAGGCGGAGGCCAGGCCACAAAAGGTGGGTTCTTCCTCCAGGAACCTTCTGCCTGCCTGTGTAAGGCCCCTCTCTGCCCTCCCCACCTGACCCCTTGCAAACTTGGCTCAGCCTCCCTGCCCTGCAGGAAACTGCCACAAATTCAGGACAGGGCTGTGTCCCTTCCCCGAGCCAGCAGGCTTCCAGGAGACAGGGTCTGTGTCCTGTGTCCCACCCCCAACCATGCCCTCAGCTTAGGAGCCCTCGAAATCAAGAATGAGAAGAAATTAGACTCTTGGAAGCAAGATGACATATCCCAAAGGAAATATTTTTAAACACCTTGAGAAGGCAAGATACCCACTACCATAAACTATTTTGTAACACAAACAAAATATTGAGATAATTATCCCACCCAGAACCCCAGACGTGCTCAAATACTGTTTTCCTTTTGGGGCTGAATACAGACGGCACAGGGATCCCCACCTTGCTCCCACTCCTGCCCTGACTGGCCCTCTCTGAAGGAGTCTATGTGCCATGTGCACGCCCCCCGGGCCCCCAGAGTCTGTGTGTGGGGTGTTCAGTGCCCAGTGTCAGGGGCAGGCAGGGGTGCCGTGGCCTCTCCCAGTCACCCCACAGCCCCATCCAGGTGCTCTACATGGGTGAAGGCAGGTGCCCTCAACCCCCTGCTCCCCACTTCCTTTAGAGATGAGATCCCTGTTTTCAGGAGTCAGGGCTGTCCTTTAGCATCAGCTGTCCTCTGTGGATTCTGGGCAGATAAGATTCCAACTCTTACAGAGCCAGCCAGGCCCTGGGCAAAGCAGTTTATCCCATGCAATCTTCCCAATGACCTTATAAAGTAGGCATCACGCCCCCACCCCATTTTCCTGAGGAGGAAACGAAATCTAAAAGGGCTAAGTAAATTTCCCCAAATCACACAACTGACCATTTAGAGCTGGAATCAGTCAGTGTCTTTGGGGTTATAAGACATGTTTTTGATTTGGAAGTCCTTAACCCTTTTGAGGCCACAGTAAGCTATCGGGACATCCATCTACAAGGCACACATCCTCCAAAATGGGTAAGTGACTCCTTTCAGCTATCCGGGACCTGTGCAGGATATCCTGGACCCACACAACCCTGCCCACCCCCACAGCTCTCTCGGACCAGGCGCTGACCTGTTGCTGCTGGGGTGAGGCTGCTGCTGATCCACAGTCTTGATCTGTGTTTTATCCTAGAGATGCCTCGGCACTCAGGCAGGAGGCAGTTGTGAGAGCAGGGGCTCCTCCGCCAAGTCCCACATCCTGCCCATCCTCAGCGCCTCCAATTATGGCAGCCAGTGCTGTGACTCTTAACAGGTTCCTCAGAAGCACAACTGAGCCTTAATTGCATTCCTGAGATGACATCACAGGACACTGCTTTCTATGATTAACTCAGTCAGTTTCAGGGACCCACCTGGCCTCAGAGCCTGATCTAAAGCATCTCAGAACCACAGAAGACCATGTCATCCATCTCCCCACCTCAGAGCTCATCATCACAGCTCCAGGGCTCATTCAGGGTCAGACACACAACTTAAATACATCTTTGGGGATTTCCTCCCTCAATTAGCAAACCCCCAAACTCCAGAGTCACGAAGCACATTCATTCATCCAACAAATATTTCTCAAGCAGGAGGTCCTCTCTAGGCAATAAAGAGTAAGACATGAGGCCAAGTCACAGGGTGGGGACGCTTGGAGGGGACAGAGTCACACACAGTCAGAGAGCACTGGGAACACTCCTAATTTAGTATCATAAACAGGGTACCCTGAGCACCCAAGGAGCACCTTTTGCCTGCCTGGAAAGCTGAGGAAGGTTTCCTTGGGAGATGTTATTTGCCGTGGCACTTGAAAATATGGTTGCAAGGAGATGCATGAAGAACCAGGCACTCCAGACAGAGGAAAAGGCTTTGCCCACAGGCAAAGGCTCAGGTGCATAAGAGAGAGTGGCTTGCTTGGGGGATGAAGTCCACAGAGTATCCGATGAGCAGTTAGAAGAAAGAAGACTGAAGAGGCAGGATGGAGACCAAATGTGAAGGGCCCTATGTGCCAGGCTAGGGCTGCAACTTCTTCCTGTGCGAAGAAAGGAGCTGATGGAGGATTTTTAAATAGGTTGGGTGATGGGTGAGAGGTGACAGAAGTAGTAAGGACACCTTTTTTATAAGGAAGTAACCCACTGCAAAGAGGAAGTGATCTGGGCGTGGCCTGAGGTCCTCGCGCGGCGTTATGTCTGCGCTGCACGTCTCACGTGTCCGGGCCTTGAATCTGCGCATCTTGCTGCTGCACTGGGTTCTGCCCCCAAACCTCAAAGACCTTGGCGACCAGTACGTGAAGGACGAATTTAGGAGGCACAGACCGCTGGTTCTAAAGAGGCCGAGTGATTCCTGCAGGAATGGGAGGCATATGTGCAGTGCTGTGGCAACAAGCTAATGAAAACAGACAAACTTCAACTGAAAAAGCATGATTTGAAATCTCCCTACCAGAAGAAAAACTTAATGACTTTTGTGATGAACAGATTGGACAATTGCAGGAACTGATGCAAGAAGCCACTAAACCCAACAGGCAATTTAATATTACTGAGTCTAGGAAACCAAAGTTTTAGTCTACACAATAAAGTTTAAAAAAGCATTTCAAGTTCAGAGCCCTTTAACTATCATTGGTTTTTAAAATTTGTTTCTTAAGCTTTTAGATTTGGGAATGCCTGGTGTTAATGAAATATTCTTTTGGGGGATATTTTGAATGTTGTCTGTAATATACAGATCAGGATCATGAGTGGATGAAACTACATTTATTGAAGTAGTAACAGTTGCTGGATAGGATTTGTGTTTTGGACTACATAAGAAAGAACGGTTCTAAACTGCACAAGCTTGTGAAATTTTTCCCCAAAATTTTATATGTAAATGTGTTTTAATGCTATTCATGTTTAAGCATTAGTCTCATGGCTCTAGCTATATCAGATAAGTATTTCATGATCATGATAGATACAGAATTCCAAGCTCATTACTTAATTTCTATTTGCATGGAATACTTTTTTCTATCCTCTCACTTTCGTTCAGTATCCCTAGATCTAAGGTGGGTCCCTTGTAAACAGCATTTATGGGGATCTTGTTTTTGTATCCATTCAGCCAGTCTGTCTTTTGGTTGGAGCATTTAATCCATTTAGATTTAAGGTAATTATCAATATGTATGTTCTTATTGCCATTTTGTTAATTATTTTGAATTTGTTTTTGTAGGTCTTTTTCTTTTTTTTTATTTTTTGGTTTATGGTTACCATGAAGTTTTACTATAGCGGTCTATATTTTAAGTTGCTGGTCTCAAATGCATTTCCAATATCCTGCATTTGTACTCTCTTCTCTTCTCTTCCCACAGTCACTGGTTTTGATGTTTGTGTGTGGATGATTGCCTACCTTTACTGTATGTTTGCCTTTATGGGTGAGCTTTCCCATTTGTAATTTTCTTATTTCTAGTTGTAGCCTTTTCTTTTCTGTCTATAGAGAAGTTCTTTAGCATTTGTTGTAAAACTGGTTTAGTGGTGCTGAATTCTCCTAGCTCTTGATTGTCTATAAAACTTCTGATTTCTCTGTCGGATCTGGGTGTGAGCTTTGCTGGGTANAGCCATGGATTTACATGTATTCCCCATCCCGGTCCCCCCTCCCACCTCCCTCTCCACCCGATCCCTCTGGGTCTTCCCAGTGCACCAGGCCCGAGCACTCGTCTCATGCACCCAACCTGGGCTGGTGATCTGTTTCACCCTAGATAATATACATGTTTCAATGCTGTTCAGAGAGACATTTAAAAGCAATAAATAAGAAAATGTTCACAACTCCAATATCTATAGCCAAGGGACAAAATAGAAGTGAAAACCTTGAAAACAACTACTTATCAAATTTCATGTGGCGATACATCCTTGGACAATCTCCACATAATAATTTGTTACTCAAAAGGAAAGCCATTTTTGGCCCATGGCATGAAGTGGGTAGAAGGTCATTTGTATCCCTCTTCACCCTGCCTTTGTTCAACCTAGGGAAAAATGACTCTCTACCCCATCACACCACACAATGATGACCTCCTTCCACAGCTCTGTTCTAACTATTTTGTCTCTTATTATTATGCTGTGGACATCTTCTCACACTATTAATCAACGCGAGCCTGGTTTTTAATAACTGTGGAGTGATCATTTGTTTCATGTATCAAAAGTTATTTTCTTAATCTATTGTTGGCAGACATTTAAAATACTCTAAGTCTGTGCACTTTAATCAACTCTTCCTTAATGTTGCTATTTCTTCAGAATTTTGACATGTGTGCTAGGTTCTGGGGAGAAGGGGAACAGAATGGAATTGACATTCCCTTCCCCTGCCAGAGCCAACACTCTGTATCCACCCAAAGCCCACCACCAGAGCCACCACCCACATCTCACTACGACAAGCAAATCCCTAAACACCAGTTCTACAGCCCGCCCACACATACACACACATGGACAGAGGCATCACTGCTGCAGTGAGAGCTCCCATACACCAGGCCCCAGAGGGCTCCCCTCGGCCACGCTTCCTTCTGTGAGACAAAAGGCCCAGCCCAGAGCCTTCCCCATCCTAATGTAAAATTCAGTAGACTCCTTTACCGTGTTGCATCAGACTGCATGTATCCAGATATTTACCTTTACCTGTGAGATTTATGCTGTCCTATGTTTTCACATTGCTGTTTAGTGAGTTCTCATTTCAATTTGAAGGACTTTCTTTTTTTTTTTTCTTCTCATACCTAAATGCCCATCAGCAGACGAATGGATAAGGAAGCTGTGGTACATATACACCATGGAATATTACTCAGCCATTAAAAAGAATTCATTTGAATCAGTTCTAATGAGATGGATGAAACTGGAGCCCATTATACAGAGTGAAGTAAGCCAGAAAGATAAAGACCGTTACAGTATACTAACACATATATATGGAATTTAGAAAGATGGTAATGATAACCCTATATGCAAAACAGAAAAAGAACTTTCTTAAGTGTTTCTTGTGAGGCATTTTTACTGACAACAAAGTCCCTTAGTTTTGTTTGTCTGGGAAAAAAGAAAAGCCTAAGATCTAATGATTTCATGGGTGAATTCTACTAAACATTCAGAAAAGAATACCACCAGTTCTTCTTAAACTCTTTCAAAAAATAGAAGAAGGGGGAACATTTCCAAACTCAGTTCTTGAGTCCAGCATCACCCCAATACCAAAATCAGGTAAAGATTCTACAAGAAAATAAAACTACAGGCCAATACCCCTGATGAATGTAGATGCAAAAATCCTGAGTAAATACTAGCTAACTGAATTTAAAAATACATTAAGAGGATCATGTGCCATAACTAAGTGGGGTTTATCCAGGGATGCAAGGATGGCTCAACATGTGTAAGTCAATCAAGGCTGTATAATACATTAATAAAATGAAAGGGGAAAAAAAAACAATATTATTTCAATAAATGCAGAAAAGGCATTTGACAAAGTTTAACTTTTATTTACAATTAAAACTCTCAACAATGTAGGTATAGAAGCATCTTATCTCAATACAATTAACGGCATATATGAGAAGCCCACAAGTAAATTTATAGTTAATGGGGGAAAAACTGAAAGCTTTCCTTCTAAGATCTGGCATAAGGCAAGGATGCTTACTCTTGTCACCTCTCATCAACATAATAATGGAAGTCCTAGTTAGAGAAATTAGATAAGAAGAGGCAATAAAAGGCATCCAAATAGGAAAAGAAGAAATAAAAGTATCTGTTTGCAGATAACAAGATGATATACATAGAAAACATTAAAGACTAAATAACTACAAAAATCCTGTTATAAATAATAAACTAATTCAGTAAAGTTACAGGACATGAAATAAACATATGAAATCCACTGTATTTCTATACACAAATAATAATCTATCCAAAAAGGAAATGAAGAAAATAATCTCATTCACAACAGCAACAAAAAGAATAAAATACTTAGGAAACAACAAGAGGTGAAAAACTTGCACTCTGCAAACTTATAAACATATTTATTAAGGAAATTTTTTAAAACACAGACAAAAGGAAAGACATCCTTTGCTCATGGATTGGAAGAATTAATATTGTTAAAAAGTCCCATTCTAACCAGAGTGATCTATAGATTCAATGCAATCCCTATCAAAATCCTAACGACATTCTTTATAGAAATAGAAAAACAATCCTAAAATTTGTGTGGAACTGT